TCTCTCTCTCTCTCTCTCTCTCTCTCTCTCTCTCTCTCTCTCTCTCTCTCTCTCTCTCTCTCTCTCTCTCTCTCTCTCTCCCCGTCCCTCCCTCCTGCACCATTGACTACCCCTGTTATGGACTCCGCCAGGCTCGATCCCTGGTCTGCGGATTACCACCCGCCAGCTTGCTGTATTTGTTTTCTTTTTTTTGTTTTTTATTCTTGCTTTTCTGATTTCGGACTGTTGGCGCCATCTGCATTCTGGCGCCCGTTTTCGAATTCCTTCTTTTGGGACTTTCGGATTTCGGACACTTGGCGCGTTCCGACATTTTGGCGCTCACTCTCAGACTTTCGATTCTCAGTTCTGGCCCTGAGGCATTTTCACTTTCGCCCTCAGGACCGTACTTGAGTCCGGTACTTATGTATGGACTCAAGCCCAGTATGGCCACCGAGTGTTCAGCCTCAGTGCTTGTGTTCAGTGCAACTTTGCTTCGACATTGTGTTCGGGAATTCAAGACTGCGACTTTGCAACTCTTGCCACTTTGTGTCTGTGTCCGTCGAGTCGTGTCGAGTCTGTGTCGAGTTGAGTGAGCACGTGTGTGTGCTCTTACTCTCTCTCTCTCTCCCAGCCTTGCTGCTCTGCCTCTGCCTTGTCACACTGGTATCAGAGCAGCGTCAATCGCCCTCCCGCCCACCTTGATCAACACGGAGCAGCTTCAACGACGCCATGCCATCATCGTCATCATTGTCTTCATCATCGACATTGCCACGTCATCCCCGTCGTCGACATTGCCACGTCATCGTCATCGCCGCCACGCCGTCGTCGCTGCCACGTGTGGCATACTGCGTAGCCACACGGGCCCTGCAGGGCCCGTCCCGGACTTCCGGTCCGGTCGATTGCCGAAACCGCATTGCAACGTGCTCAAGGCACCATTGCGGGATTACTTGCACACTGCAGTACCGACTCCGTTGATGGACGCCGGAGTAGCTGTCAGTAGGCACGAGTAGTCTTCAGGATTCGGCGGCAGCACTCAGGAGGAGCGCTGCAGTAGTCTTCAGCGCTAGGCAGTAGTCTTCAGCGCTAGGTGTAGTCTTCGGCGCTGGGCGCCCATAGCCATAGAGTAGTCTTCAGCGCTGGGCGCTGGTAGGTGGTAGATCGTAGAGTTGGGAGAGATACTGGCGGAGGCCAGTTGTAACGAGCGTGAGGCTGAGGGTGAGCCGAGGGAGAGGAGAGAGAGAGGGAGAGAGTGAGAGCACACACACACACTCACTCACTCGACACGACGGACTCGGACTGGGGGTTGG